AAATTTGAGCTTATTATAAACTGTACTCAACCCATTTTCTCAATACTCAGCCCTCTTTGTTTTCTTGGTGAAACAATGAAAAGATTCGAAAAATGAATGAAACAACAATCGAAATTCAATTCCCAATTACCAGCTACAAGCGCAGATAGCCCAGCCATTCCTGGTGTAATACTGATTATTAGTTCTTGCCAAAACGTTGACAAGGGGCCTATCTGCTTGTTTTGTGGTAGGTAAAGCATTGCACTGAAAAATAGAAAAATTTATCTCTGCTTAATCGAGACCTCAATCCCATTGTACCGAAGATTCCTTCGTAAAATGTTGAAATTAATGCACGATGAGTATCTAGTCAGCGAACATAAATTTTTAAAAAAATTTTTCAGAAGTAACAACTGAAACTTGTAGCAGACAGTCATATAGTGAAGTGCACATCGATAAAAATTAACTGATTTGCAAATGAAAATGAACCTTGAGACAATTCCGGTATCATATCCAAACAATAGTCCACCAATACAAGCCAGTATTGTTAATAGATATACGTATAGAGTGGTAGGTGGACGAGACGAAGGTTTTTGTTGAGTTGAACCCACCGAAAATACTTGCACCATTTTTTGAATTGCTCGTTCGTTGAAAGTGATCTCAAATTGAAAACAGCAAAATTTTCTCTTTGACGACAACTTCTTCAAAATAACAACAGTTCATAAGTAATGCTAACAACAAAACGTTACTAATTCGAAAAAAATTGAATCATAATTGATTGAAGAATTTATCGTTCGCAAAATGTGATTGACACTCGAGGATAATTTTTTGTTGGAGGAAGTGAAAGAACTCATTCAGAATGACAAGGTAGGTGCACTATTCATGATTATTTAAGGAGCGTTATGACCATCTTATCATTCCTTATCACATTCTCTTCGGAATGAATCTTTTTAGAAGTCATTAAATGCATGTTTAATAGCCATAGAGTATTAATATTGAATAGACACTCGTCAGTGATTATCATTTACAATACTACTCTAAGCCTACAAGGTGAAATGAATATATTTGTGCAGCAAACACTCACAACTGGAAGACTTGTGTGTGCATTCAAATATACTTGGTGAACATCATTTTTTGTTGGTTCTCAAAAGACTGATGCTTCATTATTGATGCTTCATTACTACTACTGAAAGAGTTTTATCAATAAAGAATGACAAACTACAAAACTTCAGCAAAGTCCGTTTGTTATGAATAATCTATTAGCATTTCACAATTGAATGCTGAAATATCGAGCAATCGGACGAATTATATCAATGAGCGCAGTGATTAAATTTGAAATTTGTGCTGAACAATCGAATTAATTGAAGTCGATGTTGAGATGAAGTTTGGATGAAGCAACACAACTGATAAGAGTACTGCGTTTTTTGTTGTTCGCCAACGGTGCTACTTCTTCAATATAGTGGTAATGCTCAATGAGCACACGTATTCTAACGAATTCTGCGACCAGCACAACACTTTCATCTAGAAATGCTGTTTTTTCTTTGAAGTTTGTGCATATCGTAAGAGGTCGCTCCATTTCGGAATATATATCCGTAGGTATTGAAAAAGTATCAATGGATCACTCGAAGAATAACGTGGAACAGATATTCGCAGGAATGAACTGAATAGAGTCAGGGTTCATTTCGGAGAATTTGAGAACGATCGCAGTTTTTATGATTATTTTGGTGTTAGCAGTAGATTTGATGAGTGAAGAATAGTTGCGATTTCGTTGGAACCGTTTACTGAATTCAGTGACTACCGTAGAAGATCAAACTTGTTATTGTAAAGATAACGACTGCAAATTGTTTGCAGTTAAGTAATGCATGAAAGGAATTTGCCCTTCGCATCATAGATGCAAAAATTTGCAGATGAAGTTTGTATGTGATATCATTCCGAGAATGTAGATGTATCATTTATTTACTCAACCAATAACCATGCTTCATTACGAATAAATGCCTCTCTCTTATCAATACCATCATAAATATTACTACTTTACTTTCTTCAATCGTCAGTATTCTTCACATTAAGGCATCAAATAATCGCTTTTCATGAAAATTACACTTATCTAGCAATTACAGGATTGTAGGGATACTCTCCCAATAGTTCTTGTGAAGACATTTCCGAATAATTCCGGAAACGTACAGTAAAGAGATGAATTTTCTCGAAAATCAGAATTCCCAAGGTCCCATCTCCAAAAAGGAATCTTACAGTATGAGAACAATTTATGTAAAAATTGGCTTCGAAAAATTAGACTTCAGAATTTTTGAGAAAAAAATTAGACTTCAGAAAAAAAAATTTTTTTTGAGAACATTTGACCGACGGAAAAACTCCGTGAAATTCACTTCAAAAAGTCAGCCTAGAAGGTCATTAAGTCAACTTGCTCTTCCACCTGAGGTGCTTAAGCACGCCTTATTGATGATAGCACTTTCCGGTCAAAATTTTGCCTATCAACACTCTTCGATAGTGGTTATTTCCGATCTAAAATGCACCATTTTGGTGAGCGAACCTAAAAAAATTCGGAATTCATGCACTACGCATTTTACCATTAAGCGATAAAACAATTTGAACTGAAAATATTTGAAGCTAACTTACATAACCAAAACATGTCTCTTCAACAAATGAAACTTGTGGTTCATAATTCTATTTTTCTGGAAATATGCATATTCATAATATGAATGCGCAACGAAAAAACTCAATTTTGCATGCTCATTAGTTATTCATTTAAAAATTTCATAGAATCAGGTATATAAAGGATACCACTGCCATTCTGTTATTATTATTGTATAACAGAATCGGCGATGTGGCATGGCCGCGGTGAGTGTCCACATCTACTGATAGCTTGTCGAACGGTGTGACAATAGGTGCTCTGAGAGGGATGGCAACTCTATTGACCAAGATATTATCAATGATATTGCTACACCATTTGGTTTCGAGCAAGACTTTACTCCACCTTCCGACTTTCCTCCACAACCGGAATCAAACAAGATGTGGTCGTTATGGAAGGGGATGCGTTGCAAAAGATTCACTCAGCAATATTAACTGTTAAAACGTCTCATTATCAGATGTGAACGTACATTAGGCCAAGTCTGAAGTCTGCGACGAGATACAATTCATGTGAGCTGGGATGTGAGCAGCAACGAATAATTCAACATAAAATGCCTGGATTAACTGTATCGAAATTTTTGCGAGTAGCTTTGAAAAAAAATGGACTGATTTTCAGCCACTGCTGGTGGCGGAAGCCGACGACGTCGCCGTACTAGAAGAACTAGACATGGTGCAACGGAAGAGGATGTGACTGTTGAATGTGACGATAAACGTGTCAAGGTTAGCATATCCATGACCAAACAGTTCGACAAAAATTCCCAGCGAAAATTGATTTTCTTTGAAATTGTCCAAATTGAGTACTTCAGCGGAATTATTCGGAGACTATTCGTTTTGAATAATTTTATTATGAGATGCTATTAGCGATGAACTTTTTCAGTACATTGTATGTTAAAAGAAAAACATTGAAATGTTGTTTTCAGTCCATCTTTTTATTAACTTCTCCCATTGATTGTCACAGAACAGAGGCAGAAACAGAGCCTAGGAGAAATTTTCACTGCACCAAGCGAATAGGGAAACAATGAAGGGAAACTGTGACTTTAAGTTGAGTTTTTAAAACGAGTCCTACATCATCGCATAGATTTTGGTGTGCTGACAATAGATCTGTTTTCCGATTTGCGAAATTCGCAATCAACACGCCAAGATCAGTGATCAACGTAATGACCCCTGTAGCCGAAGATGCAGGGGTCGTTGATAAATTGTTCAAATAATCGGATAACAATAATCAAATAACAGTAAATGTTACCAATCAGATCATCCGAGATTTTAGATCGGAAATGAATAGCCATTAATTATGCTAATGCAAGTGTGACTTAGGTGAGGGTATCACAAAATAATGCTTAAATAATAACGAGAAAGAATATTTCAGAATCCTCGAACGAAGCGGAAAAGAGGACGTGCGGTGAGCGCTAGTGTTGCAGCTGCACTAGCTAATTTCGTCGAGGATGTCAAAACCTTAGGTGGCTGATTCAACCACATTAATAGAGAGATGACGCAGGCATTTTGAGGATCACGAACAAATTTAGAGATGCTGATAAAATTCACTTGATAATTCAGATCATTGAACGTTCAACTGTGGTAATGAATGCATTCGCGACGGCGCCATAATCAACGTTCAAGGCAAAATGAATAAATGAGATCCAAAATTAATTCTACGCAAACTAATTCCAGGATTGGCAGGAATGCGGAAAGAATTCGAAGAATTGCGTTCTTTCTCACCGTCAAATAACGAACAAACAGCATTCAAAGCAAATCCAAAGAATAACCGATATTTGGATGTACCATGTCTCGATGCAAC